TAGAATGTATGGAGCAGAGGTTGGCAGTGTAGGGGTGACTACAATTGTTTGAGGAGCACATCACAGCAAGAATCACTCAAGATCAATTAATCTGTGTGAGTTGTCCAACCTATGCGCACCCTGGGTTAGAATGTTGGCAAAGGTTCTAGTAGAGGTCCCCAATGAGGCCAAGGACAAGGCTAGGCAATAGTGATTCTCCATTTCGCTGATGTGTTGTCGCGAGGAGCGACATTAACTTTGGTTCAAGTGCCTCATGCTTGTGATTTCTTGGAGGATATGCAAAACAAACTTGAGTTGGCAAATTTAAACATGAGACAAACTCAAGAATGAAACAAAATATTAGCTAATGATCATTATTGTTATTAAGAGTACAAAGTTGGTGACAAAGTTTTCCTTAAGTTGTCAAATGCACAATAGTCTTTAAAAGGAGGTGGTAGTGTTAAGTTGTCTCCATAATATTGTGAGCCTTAGATGACTTTACAGCATGTGGGGGATTTTGTTTATACTTTAGACTTGCCAACTAATTTGAAAATTTATCTGATATTCCATATGAACAAGCTTAAATTGTGTTTGCATGCTAGTGATGTCATGCAATCCATCATCCAAGTCCCATTTATGTCCCAAAGATTAATGTTAAGAAAGTTAGTCCTCAATATTCTTGCTCAGACATTAGTGAGGATATGTTGTAATATAACTTAAGAGTTGTTGGTTCAATGGAATGGTTATTCTATAGACAAGGCTACATGGAAATTAAGGATGACATGAAAAGATTATTTATGAGTTTTGGTTATGACTTGAATAACATTCCTGATGAAGGGGAGAATTGAGTTCTATAGTTGTATTGCTATATGATTTGAGCTATTTCTTTATTCTTATTCTCTTATTTCCATGACCGTGTTATCATGTGAGAAAGCTATATTGCTTTCTTTCTTTTGTGGTTGTTTATTGTGATATTAGTGTTATGATTTGCACATTTTTTTTTCCATAGCTATATTGCCTTCCCTTCATGTGAGGCTTGTTTAGTTTCTCAAGGCTAGTTCATGAGGGAGGGGAGAATGATATAAACTATATGAATATTTTGATATTCTATGAAGGCTAAGGGTTGGGAGGTTGGCCTACAGTTCACTCCCTTGGTTCAAGAATGGCCAGTAGCTTATTGCATGTTTCAATATCCATATAGATTGAAGTACAATCCTCCATCTGAAAGCATTGTAGAACCTTATCGATACATTATAGGCTCTTTATAAAGGTCATGAGGGCCCACATAGGGCATCAACCTATAATTTGTGTAGGAGATGCCTTCACTTGAGCAAGTGGAGTGTCTTCACTTGAGGCAAGGTGTTTTGATGATGTTGTATGTATCTAGAGTTTTGTTTGAAGTTGGTGATAGTCAAGGCATGTTGTTATTGACAGATTCACCAAGTCAGACATGTTCTTTGTGTTGAGGGAGTGGCACTGTGAAGCTATCAGCAGGTTGTAAGCTATGCAATCTTGGACAAAGTGTTGAACAATTTTTATTGCTTGAGTGAATAAGTACCCTCCCTTGGCATTTTGCATCCAACCTCAGAGTGAAGATGATGCTGGCTTGTTCTGTATAATGGGAAAATTCTACAATGTTTCTGTCCCATGGGCATGTGCGGTTTTAGGGCTTGGGATTAGGGCTAGTAGGGCAGCGGGAGATAGATTCCCACCTTGATCCATGTTGATTGTGGAGAGGTAGTGGTGGAACTTTTGATCATGATCTGCACCTTGGAACCACCATTCAAAATGCTCATTGAAGCCATTGTGCTGGGACATAGGCAATGTTTTCGTCAAGCAAAGTGTCAAGATCCATTCCAAGACATGTTGTCCATTTGTGTGAAACCACCCTTATCCAGTTGTGTCTGCAAGCTCAATGGAGTTGGAGATAGCATATTGAACCATTTTCTCTCACTTGTGGCCCATCAGATTCAGAAGGTATTGTATTGTGTTCCTCCACATGTAGACCTCGATTGGGAGTATACCAGATTCCATGATCCCAATGGGCACCTTGTTGCATCCAAACATAACATTGAGAAACTAGCAATTTAGTTGCTCCATTTTCTTCTATCAGCTGTTGGCAAGCCAAGGTCCTAAACCTCACCTCCATATGTCAATACTGTGATGACTTTGGTGTGATAATATTGCTTGCAGCGTCCCATCAAAAGATGCCAACTTGTTTGAGATAACTTTGGAGTGCGTAGTAAGCATTGGTGGCAGCTTGAATTCTTTATGTTGTTCCTGTCTTCCAGGGATCCTTAGTGTGCACCATGTAACCAAAGTACTTGTATTTCTCAACATGAACAAGCACTTGATTTTCATAGTGAAGATCACCATCATTCATGTTGTTGTGATCAACTTGACCAAGGATCATGGTCTGTGTTTTTGTGAGATTTACAGACAAGCCAATAAAGCGACAGAACCTTACTAGGTGGTGAACTTGGTGTTATAAGCCTGTTGAGAACAGGAGTAAACTATCAGCATAGAGGAGGAGATTTATGATAAATCCTGTTTTCGAATGAGTGTCTAAAAACTGAAGAGAGTGGGGGACAAGGACATCCTTGTTTGACCCCGACAGTGCATTGTACAGGTTGGCCTCTTGGATACTATGCTAGTATGCTTGTATATAAGTGTTCAATTGCATTGACCAGTGCATTTAATTTCCAGAGTCTCCAGAAGAGCTACAGTAACAAATGCTTTACTGAAATCAACAAAACAAAAAAGAGTTGCTTTAGTTTTGCGAATTTTTCATACAATGTGCGTAGCATAATGAAATGATCTGTGCAGCCATACTGTGGTCTAAATCCTGCCTGGCCGACAGCTCGTTTGGAGTTGAGTTCACTCCATAATACAAGATGATACTCAAGAATGCTTGCAAATAATGGAGCTCACCATTGCGATAATTTTCAGGTGGCCTAGGATCACCAGACTTGTGGATTGGAAAACACGGTTAATTGTCCATTCAACACTGTTCGCACGTTAAAAAAAATTGGCGGAAGTATTTTCAAGGGGAAGATCATGTCACAAACTTGGCATCATTAAAGTCTCTATGGCTCCAAGGATTTAGTCTTCTCTAAAATGAAGTATTCGTGAGCATTGTCAGGGACAATTTGGTCTCGAGACTGTTGGCTGTAGAGTTGCTTGTCGGCAAGGAGAATAGGTTTTGCAAGCTAAAGCTTTTTGTGGTGTAGTGCTTGGCGTACATTCTCGAGATTCTTCTTGAGGCAGTGGCGATGTTGCTTCCATTTGCATAGCAGGCAGAATTGTTGCTGAATGTCTGCTGCATCAGGTGCACCCTCTCATGTTTTACGCTTTTTGAGGTGATGTAGTCTCTAGGGAATCTGCCAGCTTGTTTGGTAGTGTTCTGTGGGAAGGTGTACTGAGCACCTGTAGTAGGAGGAGTGCATCATGTTCCTCTAGTGGTGTAGAATCCAACCACAGTTTCTTCACTCGTTCACTGTAGAGTGGGTATGTTATGGTGGTAAAACAATTCCAATGGGTAGTGATCTGAGACCCAGGGGTCTGGTCTACTCTGCAAGTGGAAGTTTGTTGTGTGTGGTGAGAGCATAGTCAACAACGCTGGTAGTATAGCAGGTGTAATGTGTTGTGTCTGGCCACTTCGAGGTGCCATTTAAGATCTGGAGGCACAACATCAGCGAGTTGTAGAAGTTGCTTCCCTACTCTATTGAGAATTCTGTGTTCAGAGTGCCGGGACATTGGTGTGGTATGCAACTCGGCTGGCAGTCTGTTCGAGCATTAAAGTCCCCAAGGACAACAGTGGAATTAAGTTGGTGTTTCATAAGGCAATTGAGGAGACTTGATTGTATGAGGACCCAGGCAAGGGGGAAATAACACACAGCAACGACGACTTCTTTTTTTTCCTTTGACGAGGATGGAGATCAGGTATTCATCAGACCAAACCCAGCAATGTCAGTGGTCAAGCCATTCCAACGTGTAGCAAATTGAGGGCACTTTGTACCCTATTTCTGGAATGTTCTTGCACAAGTTAGAAAGGTTTGAAGTAACAAAGTGCAGTCGTCGCCTCACAACAGGGCAGATCCGAACACAACCAAGCCACCACCAGCAACTACCACAGGTGATCACAACTCCAGATTCCAAACCATGCGTTGTTTGTAGTGACTTATTTCTAGAGAAAGTCTGAGGAGTGCAAGGTCAGCTGAGTTGTTTTTGGCTTTCTACTCTTGTATGTCTTGTATGTTTTGTTGGGAACATCTCCAATCGTTTCTCCTCGGCAAGCCCCCTGGCTGGCACCTGCAAGGATTGCATCAGTATTGTGGCCACAGGGAGGAGGGGCTGTTGTTTTATCTGCAGTTCGTTGGCAAGGTTCTGAATGCTGGTGTCAACGGAAGTTGGTGAGTCTGGTGAATAGAATTTTTTGGTTGTGGTCCTCTGTTGACTGGAAGTTTGAGGTGTAATCAAGTTCCTCCTGGACTTGTGCTTTGTATTTGTATGACCTGATTTTGATTTTCCTGTCGTTTGCCTTTTGGAGTGAAGTGCACTTTTTCGACTTTTTCTAGTACCAACGAGTCCACAATAGTCTCCCAAAGATTGTCAGGATTTTCAGCTATAATCAGGAACATACCATCTGGAGACTTGCCTTGCTGTTGAAGCCTTTCCGTAAATGCTGTTTAAGCTCTCGAGTTTCTTTCTGTAAACGTTGTTGAAGCTCTTGACTTTCTTCCTCTCATGCATAAATCGCTCATGGTCGTATCGCTGAAGCTCAAGTATTCGCGTCTGAGTCTCAAGGGAACGCAATTTCGTCTCCAATGGAGCCCTTTTTTTCAGCATAAAAGATAGCTGAAACTTTGAAAGATTAAATTAATCAATTTAAAATTTAGATTACCATTAAAATAAAATCATTCTTTAATCTTATATAAAAAATTTAGGATTACAGAATATTCGTCTTATCGACAAAACAGGATAAAGAATATTCTCCTAACTGACAAAACAGGAATAAAGAATATCCTTCTTATTGACAAAACAGTGTGGTTGTAGTACTTTCGTCGGCCAAGCGTTCGCTGCGCTGATCCAGACGCTAAAATGTACACACAGCCCACATACACACAGACACACACACACAAACACTTATATTACACGCAACCGACGATCCATCGCATTGCCACTGCAGAGCTAGTCGAGGTCATCGCCTCTTAGATCCGGAGGAAGAAAATGCTGAGCTCCGGCGCGCCACTCCCGTTGGGATTCACCATGTAGAGCGCCTCCGAATCGTTCGATCCGACCACCCTCTCGAACTTGGCCCTCATGTACATGAGCTCCTCGCCGGGAGAGGGCGAGGGATTCTCCCCGGGAAGAACCCCCGCGCCCATGGATACCGACTGGACGAGACCCAGGACCCTGGTATCGCTAGCGCCGCAATGCCGGCTCACCGCGTAGCCCGCCTTGCGCCCATTGCAAAACATCGACCAGATCGACTCCTGGAAGAGAAACCCCCGATTGCTGCCGCCGCGCTCGCATTCCAGCGCGATTCTCAGCAGCCCCGACGACATCTCCCGGACCAGGCAGCTCGTCGGCGTCGCGAGCTCCAGCAGCACCACGGGCTCGGATTTGGGGTCTTCTTGGACGGCAAGGAAGACGTGACCGCGACGATAGCCGTAGAGCGTCCCGACGACGATGCTGCCCACGGATTGCTGCGAGGAGGAGGACGATCCCTGGGGGAGCGCGAGCCACTTGCAAGGGGGAAATGCCGGAATCGGCAAGAAGCTCATGAACGTTCTGAGAATGCCACGGAGGAATCTGTTGTGGCGCCAGCCCGAGGCGTGCGATTGATCCGGTGGCGACGCGGCGGAGGAATCGCAGTTGCTGCGCAGCGCCACCAGCGGACCGGCAGCCATTGCCGCATCTTTCTTGTACTTGGCCCCCATGAAGAACCCTAAAAAAACCACTAGTAGATCGCTAGCCGTTCGTGGTTTTAAATGGCCAACGGACGAGACAGTCGGACGGCTGGGATTTGTTTTACTGTAGAAACCTTGTGTGTCTAGCGGCAGTGTTTGCAAAGTGGCCGATCTAATGCTGGGAAAGAACACGCCATGGAAGGAATATTTTAAGATCCTTGTGTCACATTGGAGAGAGTTTCTTAAGCGCTAACGCTGTCTTCAGCGAAAGATTATATCTTATGCCAAGAACCCTAAAAAATAGTTTGGAAGGGGGAAAAGGATTCTGGGGTTTTGGATGCTCCGCCATGGCGCCGGGAGATCGATCGCGGCGCAGGGGTGGATTCGCAGTCGGCGAGGTATGTGCATTTGCGCCGCCAGGGGCAGCGACAGCCGCGAGCTCGTGGAATGCGTCGTCGATCCATCCGAGACGATGCATCCCGAGAGGCTGCTGCTGCTGCGGACGCGGCCATTCCTCTACAAGATCATCAACGTTCTCAACAAGCCAGAGCTCGTCCCCAGCCTCAAGGAATCGCTTAAGGTGTGGGAGGGATTCGTGGATCCGTTGCTAGTCGGGGAGGCGCTCAAGCACGTCGATAGAGGCCACGCCGCGCTCGCGTTCTTCAACTGGGCAGCGACGCAGCCGGGATTCAAGCACAGCACCTACACTTACAATTGCCTCATCCGGTGCCTGGAGCTCGCGGATTGCCAGGTGATCGTCTACGACATCTTCCAGAGGATGCTCTACATCGATCTGGCTCCCACGTCGTTCACTTTTGACGTGACGCTGCGATCGCTGGGAAGAACCGGCGAGCTGGACAAGCTCAAGGTGGTGTGGTCGGAGATGAAGAAGCTCAAGCTCTCGCCGCATCCCAGCACGTATGAGTCGATCCTCCACTGCTACTGCAAGAACGGGGAGGTCGAGGAGGCCTATAAGATCTTCTCAAGGCTGATCCAGTGGCCGGAGCCGATATGCTTCCCACACCTCTTCTACAACAAGTTTATCGGGCTCCTCACGCAGACCCACAACGTCGGGACCGCCTATCTCGTGTTCCTGGAGATGATCGAGAGTGGCTACGAGGGCAACGTCGACACGATTGGAAAGCTCGTCATCGCCCTTCACAAGGCTGGGAGGCACTTGAGCGCATGCAAAGTCTTCGACGAGCGCGCGCGGATGTTCCAGACGGCTCTCACGGGAAGGCTGGGCGTGCCAGGGGACTCCATCGCGGATCACTATCTCTATCACGCGGAGAAGACAAAGAGGCTGTGGCGAGCGGCGGTGCTTAGCACCGATCCCAGGAAGAAGAGAAGATATGGTGGCCCAACTTGCCTTAAGAGGCATGGATATTGAGAGTTCTTGGGGCACAAAAAAGAGTTCGTGGAGATTATCAAAGATCTCGCTGTGGAGAAGAGCTCCTTCACTCTTCGAGGTCCAGCTCCAAGCTTCCACAGCTCCAAGGGGTGCTTGGCGATACAGAGACCTGAGTTTCTCGGACGTGGTTCAAAGGGGAGTTCCAGCCAGTTTCAAGCTTCTGCAGCTCCAGGGGATAAAAAGAGCAAGAGCTTATGGAGCTGATCGAACAGCTCCATCCGGGAACAGGGGTGCTTGGCATAGAAAGAGCTGTGGAGTTGATCGAACAGCTCCATCCAGGGACGTGGTTCTCGTCATCAAAACGGAGGAAGTCCATCGAGCTTGAAACTTCTACAAGCTCCCACCGGTGCTTGGCGATAGAAAGAGCTATGGAGAGCTCTCAAAAAGGAGGAGTTCCAGCTTCAAGCATCACAGCTCCAGAGCAAGTAAGTGGAAAGTTTTGGTGTTTTATCTCTAGAGACCAGATTTCTTATGTATGTTTGGACAGGACTTAGACGATGTCTTCTGGCCGAGGAGGCTGCCATGGATCTTGTTTGCCGGTGTCCAGTGCTATTCCGAACAAGTTGGCCGGGCAACAAAAGATGAGCTCCAGCTTCTTGCTGCCGCATCCTTCGAGCTGGCCAAGCTTCATCTCTCTGGGAAGGCTGGCCAGCGGCAGCGGCGTTTACTCGCCACGCTCGCGGTTGAAGTAGTGCAGCGGCCACGACTTGCGCGCGATCTTGCTCCTCTCGCGAAACGCCGCCATGAGCTCCTCCACGCTGGGCGCCTCCCGGAAATCGATCGAGTGCCGAGTCTGGGAAACCGCCATTGCTTTCGGCGGCTTGCCGAGCAGCTTGTGTCCCTCTTCAAGCTCGCTCTCAATCGCCTCGAGTTTTTTTGGATCCATCCCCACCTGCGAGGTAGCGGTGCTCGGCGTCCACTTGCTCGCACGCTTCCCAGTACGGGACATCCGGATGGTGGGAGTAGAAACCGTAGCGGATGGCATACAAGATCATGGGCGCCGGGTGCCCGTAGATCTTGCGCAATCGATCGCGGAATTCGCGAGCCGGCATTGGAGCCGTCACGAAGATCTTGGTGCCGCGGCGCTCCACCTCTGCGAAGTACTTTTCACATTGCCAAAATCTCGAATATACCTTTAGGGTTCTAGGGTTTTTCTTTTTACCTTTATATTAAAATGTTTTAGGGTTTAAGGGCTATCGCGATGGAGGAGGAGAGGGGTAAGGGCATGGCGCGCTCGCGATTCTTCGTCCTGGACATATTTCGATCTTCTCTTTTCTGCAGAGACTCTGGCCGATGCCTCGGAGAAGGATGTGCAGCGGCTCTTGGATCGGGTGCGGGGGAAATCCAGCAAGAAAGACAGCTCTAGCGCGCCGAATTCCAGTGCGGTATGTTGTTTGCCGGGTGGAACAGGGGGGCTAATGATCGATCCGTGCCTTCGATCAGAAGCGCTGCATTTGGGATTCTTCCAGAGCTGCCGCTACCGCGTCGGTTTGTGGCGCGCCGGCGGCGGTAGCGCAGTCGCACCAGGAGATTTTGCTGGCGCGGGAGAAGAATGCGGCCGAGAAAGGCAAGATTGAAGCCCCGGAAGACGATATCGACTGGGAAGTTGGTGATGGGAATTTCCAGTGCTTGAAGAATGGCTTAACGATAGAAGTGGAAAAGGATGTCGGTGGAAAAAAGAAAATCACAAGGAGAGCGAACGCGAAAGACAAGGTTAGTCTTTCTTTCCTCTACGATTGTTTGTTTGTTCTTCTTTTCTTTTCTCTCAACGAGTTTAGTGTTACAGGAATTCGCGGAGCTTGTTCATAAGCTGCGTCTCTTGTGTTTGCTGGCTAGAGGGAGGCTCGTGGACGCTGCCTGTGACGACACGCTACTCAAGGTTTCGAGATTGTTTTGTTTTCCAAGTGTGAGAAGTTTAAGATCTATTCTGATGCAGGGATTGGTTTATTCGCTTGTGCCAGCTCGGTTTACTTCGTCCATCGAGCCGGAGAAAACGACTGTGTCGACTCTGACTTCTCTTGTAAGATGGGTAAGACATGTTTGTTTTGTCGGGTACTTTTGCTGCATGATTTCTTATGTCTTCTTTTGTTTTGTATCTATCAGCTCAATAGCGTGATGCAAATTGCTGTTGGATCTGTGAGTGGACCCTTGTCCGAGTTGAGTAAGGTCCTTTCCCGGCAATTTGGTTCAGAAGAAGAGGTAACATGCGTTTTCTCTCTTTTATGAACTTAGTAAATCGTTTTTAGATTGCGGCGATCACAGTGGCCATGTTCCGTGCTCTGACATTTAAAACCAGGTTCGTACGTGTTGGAATCCTGTTTTACTCACGAACTAAAGTGTGGCGTGACAGATATGTCTGCGTTTTGGACGTGGCTTCCATAAAGCCCGATACAGAATCGATGCTCGCTTCGGAAAACTGGGAAGAAAATGTAGCTGACTCTAGAACAAAAGCAGGGAGGCTTTTCTCAGATTTTAGGCCTGGTGGCTCACCAGATGTTTGGACGTCGAAACGTGAAACCGAAGACTTAACAACTTCGCCAGCTTCGACATCTACGAGGGTTCTGTCCAACGACGGCCCTGAACCATCAAAACCTCAATCAACCAGCAAAAAGAGGAATCACACGCCAACTTCAAAGCCTGCTGTCAGCAATACAGATGAGACGACTCCAGCCACTCAACAGAAAAGAAAACGAAGGGGTGATGAAGAGTTCGAGCTGGAACTGGCACGGGCAATGGCTGCGACCAGTGCAGCAGTGGTATCTACACCCCAACCGGCTTCTAAAGTTGTTCAGCCCAAGCCTCCTCCGCCGGTGGTTTGGTCTCGAAAGAAAGGTCCTCTCCTGCACTGGGCAGAAGTCTTTTGTGGCGATGACAGCTCGGGAAGATGGATTCACGTCGATGCTGCTCGAAATCTGGTCGATGACGTTGAGAAAATCGAGGCCTCGAGCAAGCAGCCAGTTCGTTACGTCGTCGCGTTTGCTGGATCCGGAGCAAAAGATGTGACTCGCAGGTAGATACATTTTGCTTCAAAATGCTCGCCGTCTCATCCATTTTTTCGAATTAACAGGTACACTACTTCCTGGTCCAAGATACAGGCATTAAGAGTGGACGAAGGATGGTGGAGTGCATGTCTCTCTCCTCTTAGGCTCTTGGAATCAAATGCATACGACTCACACAGAACTTCAAACGAAGGTGACCATCTAATGCTATATGTTTTAGACTTGACGTCGTGACACCGTCAGAAAGGAACACGAGAGAAGATATGGAGCTGGATGTGAAGTCTTTTACTGAGCCGCTACCAACAAACCAACAGGTATTCGAGCATTCCATGGGCAATCTTCTTTTACCACGCGTCGTCCACAGGCGTACCGAAACCACCACTTGTATGTCATGGAACGATGGCTGACAAGATACCAAGTGCTACATCCGAAAGGGCCCATTTTAGGCACTTGTGGTGGCAAGCCTGTTTATCCCCGGACGTGCGTTCAGGATCTTCACACCAAAGAACGGTGGCTACGAGAAGGATTTGCTGTGAGAGAAGGAGAAGAGCCCGTCAAGGTATTGTCACTCACCAGAATATCACGACCAAACGACAATCGCTTTTGTTATTGCAGATCATAAAATCTCGTAATTTGGCCCGCAAAGTAGAGGGAGCGCCCGACGAGCCTTCTCTAGTGCTCTTGTTCGGAAAATGGCAAACCGATCCATGGCAACCTCCGCCGGCAGTGGATGGAATTGTTCCAAAAGTAAGGCCTCAATCTCTTTGTGTATCTCTGAGCGTTTGTTTTGTGGATTTAGAACGAGCGAGGCCATGTGGATGTATGGTCAGAAAAATGTATACCTCCTGGAACCGTGCACCTCGCGCTCCCGCGGGTGACCCCGGTCGTCCAGATGCTGGGGATCGACTTCGCACCGGCAATGGTCGGGTTTGAGATCCGGCAGGGGCGCTCGGTACCAGTTTTCCAAGGGGTGGTCGTGTGCGATGAATTCAAGGACGCCATCCTACAGGTAAGCAAACTCCCGTCACACCGTTTTCAGAAGCTGATACTGTGCGGAGAAAAACCAAAGGTGTACCGCGCCGAGGAAGAGCGAAGGGAGGCCCAGCTGCGAGAGAAGACCGAGGCACAAGCGGCTCTACGGTGGAGGCAGCTGCTGCGTTCCATGGTGACGAGGGAGAGATTGCGAGCAGCGTACGAAGACAAAGGTGTGAGCAGCAGCGTCCCAGAGGCGGAGGAAGAAAAGGCCCGGGCTGCTGCTGACCATTCGAGTGCTGCTGCCAGTGATGATCGCGCAGCGAGGAGGAGGCCCGCAAAGGCGGATGATGAGAACCACGTCCACAGCTTCCCGGACGAGTGGCAGAGCTACGACGAGGAGGCGTGCGTTCGGATCAAGCGCTGTGGCTGTGGCTTTGAGCTGCGAGTGGAAGAAATGTAAGGTATGTTTTCATCTTTCAAGGATAGAATCTACAAACTTTGATGGCCTTGGAGATGGCAAACTCTCGCCTTTTTAGAGGCATGGAGGACAATCACCAGGTAAGTTGGAGACAGAGTCGTTAAGATGAATCGTTTTGGGATGTTGGGTGATGCGTGCAGATAAAAGCTATCGGAACCATATTAAATCCGTGCTCGAAAACATCGCCTGAAAGCAATCGGTGGCTAAGGTCTGTGCAACAGCCTTGTCATCGCTTTCCAAACTTTGAGCTGCCATTTTGTAGCATGAATTTTAATCCGAAGTTAACTCATCTTATTAGTGGAAGAATAACAGCTTTGAGCAAATATTTAATTTGTTTTCCCTTTGAGAGTTAAAATGATATTTAAATACTCTAAATCTTGCTGGTGGTGCCTGCACTCATCTTGTCAAAGGTTTGTGCGCATATCTCGTTTCACAGGCAAGTCCCGCATTGGCAAAATTACGATCCAAGCTCTACTACTTGCACATAACCATGAGGAAGATCAGACCTAGTGTGCTCTAAATGGTTACTAAGGTACATCCACACCAAAAGAAAAAAAAATTTATGTTGCTTCTAATAACAGTGTAAGGCTTTCTAGTTTGTGACCATCAACAAACTCTCTTAGTAATATTGCAACTATTATTATTAAGATTTTTAGACAAAATATTGCAATTCTTATTTTGTAAAGTTTCTTTATTTGAAATATTACCATAATAGCAAAGCCAAGCTTCTAAGATTCATAAACAATAGGACTAGTATTTTCCAGTTAACAAGAAAATGCTGAATTAATAAGGATATTATAAATATAATAGCCTTCAAAGCACAGAATCAACCGAGCCGAGAATTTGTGAATTGCTCAACAAGCATCGCGAAACTTGAATGGCTATGATGGATGGTGTATGACCCATCGCTGGAAACCATGGGACATGGCCATTACACCAGAAAATCTGGTGATTAGAGCAAGTTCATCAAATGTCTAAGTAAGCATTAACATTTAAGCACGGGAATCTCGCAGAGTTTTGCCGCACTCAAATTATTCTTTTGAGATACTTTTTCTCTTTCTGGCCAGATGGAATCTTTTTCTTTTATCTTTCTAAAGGTATTCTAAAAATATTCTTCGAAGCATTACGTGGGATTGAAGCAAAGGTGATTTACAAAATAGCACACCATAGCTCCCATCGGATCCTGCTAGTTCCTCTCGCTCCATACGCGAAGTTCCGCTCCCCCTCATCAGCGCGTGATCTTTTTTCTTGTGCGAACAGACGATGAATATCGGCATAGGGATAGCGCTTACTGCTGCTGCTGCGGTTGCAACACCCGCCGTAGTTTCTGCGGGCATCGCAGCTGCTGGTTTCGCGGGGACGGGGATCACCGCCGGATCAGCAGCGGCGAGTATCATGAGTCTTTATGGTGGTGCTGTTCCTGCGGGAAGTCTGTGCGCCATTCTCCAGTCTGTAGGCGCTGCCGGCCTTTCCACTACCGCTGCAACGGTAGCCTCTGCTGTGGGTAGTGGCTTTACTGCCGCTTGCATCGCGTACGTATTCTGAAAAATTCCACTATGAAGCTTTGTGTATGATAACTTTTAAGAAATTCATGACTTGTGAACGTGGCTCTCTGACGATTATCGCCATATCTCGACGATATTGCCATCCCCACTGGAGGTAAGTCCCAGGTAAGTAGAGTTCTCTACTTTTCCAAGGCTTTTGCTTGTCGATATGTACATCAACTGACCGAACGAATGGCCAAACTGTGTTGCGGGGCATCATTTTTTTTTTTTTTCCCTCCTGTTTCCGTTCTAAGATTTGATTCGCGCAGGTAGGAGAAACCGAGATGAAAGAAGCTTAAATGCAACAAAGGTAACAGGCCCAAGATCTGCTGCTGGTGATGCCCCCTCCAAAGTTCATGGCAGCGGCAAGAGCATCGATGTTGCTGCTCGTGCTGCGGAGAAGGACTCGGCACTCTGCCATTCACTGGAGACCGGGGGCGAGGTCGGGCTGCAAGATCAAGCTCAGGATGTCAGGCCGGAACGTTCTCATCAACTTCTGGGTACTTTTGTGCCAGCTTCAGTGTCTGATTGGATGCACGACGTTCAACTACACCTTGAGGCTCTTCTGCATTGGATTCACCAAGCGGAGGCCGAAGAAAACTTGCTACGCTGTGTCAAGTCAGATCACGGTCAGAGTTCAATGCAGCCGGCTGCTCGGGTATCGGGATTTGCAACCGCAATCATCGCAGCAGGACGAGGATGCTCTCTCGCAGGGAATGGAGGCTCCCTCCAAGCTCCGAGCTCCAGACCACGCTCCATATGCATGTCCTTCCACGCCCTCTCTTCCAGGTTAAATCCAAAGTTCTTGCTCCAAGCTCCAAACTCCAAAGCCGATCATCAAAACTGGGACGTAGCTCTGCGTCCTTTTCATCTTTCCAACGCTTCCACATCCTCTACACTCCATGCTCCATCCATGCTCCAAGCTTTCATGATCCCAGCTCCGAGCTCCAAGCTCCAGCCTTGGTCCTTGCTCCAATCCTTGTGCTCCAAGTCACGCTCTGCTCCATGCTCCATGGCGTTGCCACTCTTGATTGGAACTGTTCCTCACTGGCAATATCAATGGATTGGGCTGGCATGTCAATCTGGATCATGTAAAGCTTCTGGTTAAATATGAAACTACCGGCTGATTTGACCCGAGAGTGGAAAGAGGAGAGATGTTTTAGTCGATGAGCATTGACTTTCGTTGGAATGGGGTTTTGATGTCTTACCGAGTCAACGCAAATTGATCAAGGTTAATCTGAAGAAAGATTTTCGAAATAACCAACCAAAATGGCTTTATTGTTTTTTGAACTTGAAGGAACCAGCTGGCCTGACACCAAAGTATAGTATCATCTGTTCTGTTGTAGCCTGGCAGGCTGGCTAGGATAAATAGGTGGTAAATGTAGTTGTTTGTGTGTGGTAAAGTAAGTATGAGCTGGACTGGACACTGAACTGATGGCATGGATGGGAGAGAGAGATTGATTTCCGATTTTGATTGATCGTATAGTTCGTGACTCATGATTCCGGACCTACGTACGTAGCAAACGGCCCCTACGTAGCCGTAGAGAGAGAGCTGTATAGGTATATAATACTTTGAGAAGCGAGCTCCAGGAGGAGCGGTCGTTGTCTCCCTGGAAAATTTGATTCTTCCGTTTCGTCGTCTCGGACGGAGCAAAAGATAGGCATGTCGATGGTCGAATCCCAACAGACAAAAGCAAAAAACAATTCAAAAAACAAACAGAAACTTTTGTATTTTCATTTTTTTTCCTAGAGAAAACATATTTGCAAATGTTGGAAAAGAGAGACTGATTTTCCAGCCTAAAAGTGAAGCACTGGCACGCAGCCATGGGATGTGAGAATCACTCACTCGAGCGCCCCAATTCTCTTCTCACGTGTTCTGCGTTGCTCTGCTCTACTGTGGCTTTCGATTCAAGCTACCTTTGAAACGCTACGTACCCCGCTATAAAACGAAGGAGAGAACAAATAGATTCATAGGCCTTTGTTTTGGGCGATCGAAACTCTCGATCGATCGAGTTGGTTCTCTCCTGTTCTTGTGAATCAAAATCGAGTTCTTTGTAGTGCATAGAGATGGAGCGTTTCTTTGTGCTTGGATTCGTGGTAGTTCTCGCTGCTTCTTCACTGGCAGCACCCGTGAACAAGAACTTCAACACCGACTTCGCGGTGACCTGGTCGCCGGATCACGTCAACACTCTCTTGGGTGGTAGTGCTCTCCAGCTCCGGCTCGACAATTCATCTGGTAGAGAAAAGGGATCCTCTCACATTTTTCTTCCTTTTATTGATCTCACCGTCTCGATTGGAATCCTCTGATTGTTAGGATCTGGATTTGCATCGAAGGGCCAGTTCCTGTTTGGAAAGATCAGCATGGACATGAAGCTAGTTCCGGGAGACTCGGCCGGAACAGTCACAGCATACTACGTAAGTTCCAGATCACGATTCACGATTCGATCTTGAGAGCATTTCGATCTGGATCTAACATAGCATTTGCTTTGCTGTTTTCTTGCAGCTCACATCGGGCCAAACACCCAATCGAGACGAGCTCGACTTCGAGTTCCTGGGAAACGTTTCCGGCGAGCCATACATTCTCCAAACCAACATATACTCCAATGGAGTTGGAGCGAGAGAGCAGCGGATCTTCCTCTGGTTTGATCCCACCACAAGCTTCCACTCCTACTCGGTGCTCTGGAACCAGCACCAGATCGTGTAAGCAAGACAAAAATCTCTTCTTTCTCTTCTCTCGAGCTCAAAGTTCCTTCCTTGGCACAGATTCCTGGTGGATGAAATCCCGATCCGCGTCTTCCGCAACAACGAGGCCAAAGGCGTCGCGTTTCCGTCCAAGCAATCCATGGGTGCTTTCTCGAGCATCTGGAACGGGGATCAGTGGGCTACTCGCGGAGGGGTCGTCAAGATCGACTGGAGCAAAGCTCCGTTCGTCGCGTCGTATCGAAACTTTGCGGTGGACGCCTGCGAGTCGGGCAAGGTTGAGGCGTGCTCGGCCATGGCCGGTTCCGCGTGGTGGAACCAGGAACGCTACCGCTCGCTCAATCGGAACCAGCGCCACAGGCTCAAGTGGGTCCAGAAAAACTACATGGTTTACAACTACTGCATCGACACCTCGCGCTACCCCACGCCTCCGGCCGAATGCAAGGACGCTTTCTAGGACTGGTGCATGGTGGCTTCCATTCTTGCACACGGCTGAAGCTCTGGGCTGTATCGAAATCGGGTGAGCTCCATTTCGTCCTTGGGTGGCAAGTTTACATTCCAAAGTTGCTTTGTACATTTTGTTATTTCATTTGTGAAGTTGATTCTGCTCTGAAGCTCAAACTTGATTTCAAAATTCAAAAGTTTCCATAGTCTTTGTACATTTTCATGCATTTTGTTACTTTGTTATTGTGGTTGAACCTGTTCTTGGGTGGCAAGTTCAAAATTCAAGAGTTTCTTTGTACATTTTCTTATTTCCTGGGTAAGCTCGGCAGTTTCAAGCTGTTCTTTAGTGGGAACAAAAGTTTCTTCGTGCATTTTGTTATTTCCTAGGAAACTCAGCAATTTTGAACCTGTTGTTCAGTGGCAACTTTAAATTTCAAAGGTTTCTTTGTACATTTTGTTATTCCAGTGTGAACTCTGAAGATGAACCTGTTCTTGAGTGGCAACTTCAACTTACAGAGTTGTAACAATGACATGATAACAAGAGTCAAATCTCATCTTTAAATCAAACATCGTACATTCTGTTGTTTTCTCGTGATTTCAAAAAAGTTCGAATCCGTCCTTGATGACAGCCAATCTTGAGTTCAAATGTGCGTGTCTGGAGCATTCCATCATCACAAACTTAGGAATCTTTACCCCTTGTTAAAAAGGTGGTAAATTTTGTTGAGCGTAAGCTTAGCATACAATGTGTGAGAGTTGGACTTCCATCACATAAGAACAATACTTATATCTTGATCACCCTCATTCTCCTATGCAAATCGCAGCGCTTCCTCCCATTTCTGGGAGTTCTCGTGCAGCCAACGCCATCCACCTTCGAAACCACTCCGCATTTCAATCCATTCTCTCCTGTCACTTCCCCGTAGAGTTTCCCTGTCCCTGCTCTTTCGATCCTCACCTTGCAATCCTTCCTGGAAGAACTCGTCTTCCTCGCATCGTCTGGACGAACTCCATCTCCTTCTTTCTTGCGATGATCTTCGTGACCATCAATGGAGAGGCCAAGGAATCCCCTTATCACGTCCCGGAAGCTCCTGGCCTCCGATCGATCCTTGGGCTTTGACAGCTCCACCCTGACTCCAACTCTCCTCTCGAAAATCCTCGCGCAGCCCAGCCGGGTCGCGATGGAGCTCCTCGTCCCGCACACCACGTTGGATTGCATCTCGAGCTTGGTGAGAACGTCCAGCGATCGCCGAGCTCCATTGGCACCCTTGTTCCAAGCGTAGTCGAAAACATGGAGTAGCTTCTTCTCGGCTGCTAGCGCTGATTCCTTGCTTCCTGTCTAGAACAAAAAAAGAAGAAAAAGATGAGCAAACTGGCGAGAGAAAAAAATACCAAGAACTTACAGCAGACCATCGAAATGCCAGTGAGTATCCTCGAGCAAAGATCTCGGAGAACAATCGAGGTCCTTGCCGGAAGATCTGCGTGAGAACTCTCTTCTCGGGCAGCCATTTCTCCAATCCAGTCCAGCCTTCCAAGTGAGACCCTCCTTGCCCGTAAGACTGTAGCCTTTGCCTCACATTCTCGGCCTGTCCGAGGTACACGGCCACCACATCTCTCCTGTGTAGCCTCTTCTTCTTTTTCCTCTTGCGAGAACTCGAGCACGGCCGGACGATCCCCAGCTCGTAGATTCCGGGACGAACAGCGCTCTTGCTGGGGAGATTGTGGAGCCGGTACCTCGATCCGCTAGGGCTGTCCACTGAATCGCGCCAGTCCGAGTGCCCGATCAAGATCTAGAGGATCGGCGTTAAGCGGAGACCAGGATCCAAGAAGTGGAAGAAATGCGCCAGGATTTGGAAAGGGAGGGAGAGATGTGGTACCTTCCAGCGCGTGAAGTAGCGATCGTGCTTCACTGCGAAGCATTCCTCGCGGCGCATCCGGCAGGGCGACGCCATGGATCTTCCTCTAGCAACGGACAAATTTTCACTTTGGCGCCCTAGGTTCCAGGATTCGAACCCCTGACCTTTCTCATCTCGGACTCCACGTCAGCCTCCAGCTCGGGCACTCCACCTCGGACTCCACCTCGGGCACTCCATCTCGGGCAATCTTTGTGTAGTATCTCTATTCTTTCCTTTGCTCAAACAAAACTGTGCATCACATCGTCTCCCCCGGAGGGAGCTCCGGATGCTTGGCAGGAATTCCGAGTATCCGTTCCATGTCGTAGCGAACTTCGATGTTCCGGATGCTGTATCCCACCACCATGAGCCAGTATAACAATCTCGCCAGTTCTTTCGCGCTCGTCTCGGTCGCAGTTCTCTGTGAGTGATCGCATCGCACAGGAGATCTAAAGAGAGAAAAGCATATGGCTGCTACCTTTAGCATTGCAGCGTCCGAGATTCTTATCAAGCGTTGCACGAATGTGTTCATGGCTTCCACTGCGTCCTCCCCGGCGCTAGTTGTCAGCTCCTGCGAACTCAAAAACTTCTCATCCAAAACTTTAGGAATGAACTGAGGTTTGAGTACCTGTAAGTTTTTGGGCTCCAGGTTTTTCAAGTAGTCGAGAAGCTCGTTCTGGCCAGACACCTTGCCTCGCTCTAGTTGCTGCTGAAGCTTTTCCACCTCCGACTCTAAGAACTCGATGTATTCCACGGCGTCCATAGCCACCGGGCCATCTTCTTTGTGCCACTTCAAGACGCTCCCCTGGACTTGCGACTTTTGTACCTTACTCTCGAATTCGGGACCAAACTGGAACGAGCACAAAAATCATCTTTGGTATCAGACAAGACTTACGAATATCATTTCATCTTGCCTTCTCGTCTTTGGGGGCCGGAAGTGCCGCCTGTTCTAGACTTTGTTGCAACTCGAGACGGTATTGCGCATTTCTAAACATATATCCTGTCATTAGGACGCTATACATGAGCTGAGCAAGATTCTCAGCCACCTAGAAAAGCACAAGTGTTTTAACCACGAAGAAGGACCAACAAACTAAAACCATTACCGTAGTGATAGTTATCTCGAAAAACTGTGGAGGAAGCGTTCCAAGCATGTTCGTCACTGTCTTTCGCATAGCCTCGACCACCTAAGGTACAGAAAAAGGAGTTTAGTTGGCAGAAAAATCACAAATCTTTACCTGTTGAGGAGCTTTTTGGATGAAGAGTTCCATGAACTCGGGCTGGACATTTTGCACATACTCCAGCAACATATCTCTCCTAGTCTTGGACTGGAAGAAGAAATCAAAAGCATTTCCTCCCAATCAGTATAGAATCCATCATATAAAAAATCCATAGAAAGAAGAACATTCTAGTCGAAACAAGAGAAAAATCCAGAGCTTCAAGCAAGAAAGAAGAACCTTCTAGTCGAAACAAGCAGGAGAAAAAAATTCTAATCGAAAATGCAGGCCTAGAATTTCTTACAAGAGATCGATTGCCAGCGGACGAAGCAGAGGAAGAAGTTAATTCATCGCCAGACGATGCCGATGAGGTAGCCGCGGCGCAGCTAGAATGCTTCCTCCCGCTCCGCCATAGCCCTATTGCAGAAAAAGCCCTGGACGAGCTCCACGCCTGCTTTGCCCGATTGTGATCCGGCCAAGACGCCAAGGAAGAAATGGCGCTTGCACTAGTCGAGGAAACGCATGGCTTGAGCCAGCACGCCGGTTGCAAGCAAGCCATACCCTAGCAATCGCCTCTGTGGCGCTGCTCGCTTGATCAATCCGCCATAGCGTCTGGAAATTAGGGCTCATAACTGGAGCCTGACGTGTGCGGGTTGCTACCGTCCGATGGGGGAAATGGACGGCCCTGCAACCTCCTCCTCTTCACCTCTAAGCTTGGGTTTAGGGTTTAACGCGGATCGCTTTTGATTACTTTACTCCTTTTTTTTGTTCCTCGTGGAAGATTCTAGCGTAACGCAATATCTTGATTTCTTCTGGAGCAAAATCTTGATTTTTGTCAAAGTGTCCTGTAATTTGCAGGAGCTGGATGGAATCAGGAAAAGCTATGGACGAGAGCTCAAGCCCACAAGTTAGTCTTCCTCCAAGGTTTCCTCTTTTTGTAAAGTCGACTCCACACTGAGAGTTTGCTCTCTTTTCTTCTTCTCTCTTTTTTTTTTTCTCTTTGTTCCAGGGATGAATCTCAAGTGGGCGATTGCGATCGCCACAGTGGCTGCCGCTACATTCTTCGAGCTCCTTCGCAACTTCAATAGATTCTGGTATGAACCAAAGCTCAAGCCCGGCCAAGCTCCACTTCCTCCAGGCTCTCTCGGATGGCCAATCTTTGGAAACATGGCATCGTTCCTTCGGGCTTTCAAGTCCCACAATCCAGACTCTTTCATCACCAATTATCTCCACAAGTTAAGCTCTCTCTCTCTCTCTCTTCTCATGAAAAACTCAAGCATTTTTCTCATGAAAAACTGAACCTTTTCGCTTGGGATCTTGTCCTTCTCAAAGGTACGATCGAACAGGAGTCTACAAAGCTTTTCTCTTTTGGCAGCCAACAGTGCTGGCGACTACTCCAGAGACATGCAAAGTGGTTCTTTCGAGGGATTCTTTGTTTGAGACTGGATGGCCGAGCAGCACAAGGAGACTTATCGGCACGCGATCTTTCGCTGGAGTTACCGGCGAGGAGCACTTGAAACTTCGCAGGCTCACGGAGCCAGCGCTCAGTAATCCCAAGGCTCTCGAGGATTACATCCCTCGCATGTCCAGCAACATAAAGAGCTGCCTGGAAGAGTGGTCGTGTCAGGAAAGAACTCTCTTGCTCAAGGAGATGAGAAAGGTATGTTCTTGCTCAAATCGATTTTGAGTTGGTCTCTGAATGGGAATCTATATAGTACGCGTTTCGTACCATTCATGATATTCTTTTCAGCAAAGATTCGGGCCTGGACGTGGAAGAAGTTTCATCTATTTACTATGAAGTGAACCAAGGAATACGTTCTCTACCGATCAACTTGCCAGGAACTTCGTACAATCGAGCTCTTAAGGTAAAAACTTTGCTTTTCCCAGGCTTGTCTCTCCAGCCTATGATAACAACCTTTTTTCTGTGCAAGGCTCGCAAGAAACTCGATGTACTGCTTCACCGAGTTCTCAACAAGAGAAGATTTTCGGAGAAACCTGAGAAAACAGACACACTTTCGCTGCTTATGGATGCCACTGACGAGAACGGGAAGCATTTGGACGACAAGCAAATTGTAGATTTGCTAGTGATGTATTTAAATGCGGGGCACGATTCGACTGCTCATCTCATACTGTGGCTACTGATTTTCCTACTCAAGCACGAAATTGTCTATGACAAAGTTAAGGTAGTTTGCTTCTTTTCTCCTCTCTTTGTTAAACACCGTTTTACTGCTGACATGCTGACAGGAAGAACAAGAGCTCATCGCGTCTCAAAGACCTGTTGGAGAGTCGCTCTCTCTATCGGACGTGAAAAAGATGTCATATCTTTCAAGAGTAAAGTTGCGATTCATAGCTTTGTCTCATCTTCTTTTCCCTTTTGTACCAGGTGATCAATGAAACCTTGCGAGTGGCTAACATATCTCCAATGGTTTTCAGAAGAGCTGTGACTGATGTTGAAGTTAATGGTGATTCTTTCCGGTTCTTAGTTTCTCTAGACTTATAAATCGTATACAGGCTTTACAATTCCTAAAGGCTGGTATGTGGAGCCTTGGTTGAGACAAGTTCATATGGATCCTGCCGTGCACTCCAATCCTCAAAACTTTGATCCGGATCGATGGGCTGTAAGTGTTGTCTTTGTTTTTGCGTTACTGTGACAAAACAAATCCCTGCAGAGAAATGAAGTTCGTCCATTCACGCACTTACCATTTGGACTTGGAAGTCGAACATGCCCAGGGAACGAACTCGCGAAGCTCGAAGCATGCATTATAGTCCACCATTTGGTGCTCGGCTACGAGTAAACAAACTTTATTTGTATGTGTATCTTTACGTGTTTGTTCACTGTGTGCTTGTGCTATTTGCAGCATGAAACCGCTGAATCCAGATTGCGAAGTAACTTTCCTGCCGCATCCAAGGCCCAAAGACTACTTTCCAGTTCAAGTTCGCAGACGTAGATAAATCGGTGATCACATCACGCAATCGAAGGACAGATGAAGACTCGAAGGACAGGTGAAGATGTTTACTCTCGAGAAGCAATCGTTATAAGGAAAGATATTTGGAAGATAATGCAGAAAAATCTCTTTTTTATCAGGTTTTCTACCTTTCTTTTAACCTTTCCTGAGTGGAGAGCTGGCAGGAAATTCAAGGAAGCAAGCTTGGTGCGAAGAAAGCGTGGCAGCGCTGGTTATTTCTCGAAGACGAATGTAAGAAGCGCAAGAAATAGGTCCGTTTCTTAAGGTGTAAGTTGCCCTCTTTTGGAGGCTAAGCTATAGAGTAAAGGGTCTTTGTGTTTTCTCCATGTTGGGACACAAGGACACGAATGGCGCTCGCTTCCTCGATCTCTAAGGCAAGTCACACCGAAAAATCCAAGAATTTTCTATCTCATGGGCTGTGATCTTCACAGGTGCTCGAACGATTCAAGCGGAATCCACGCGCTGCGATCACCGACAGTGGTAAATCCAGGGAGAAGGCCAGGATATCGTTTCCTCGATTGGAATTCAGGGAGAGGAACGAGGCCAAGTTTGATCTGGTGGCACGGCTCGACTTGACGCTCAGAATCTCCATGCTGTCCAAGGTGAACTCCGAGATCCAGCGTCGCTCCTTCTCGGCTTTGCTGCTCTTCACGGCGGTGTGTCTCATCGGCCCTTCGGCGGCTTTGGCTATGGAGGTGGATGATATTCCAGAGTATGGCCCAGGGCTTCCAAAGAAGGATTTAGTCTTCCATGGGGGAGTTTTTCTCGCTAGAGTCCAGAGGCCAATGGCATTGTCAACCACGGCAACTTCACTGGTCAGTGAATCATCTCGCGGCGTGTTTATGGAAGAAAAACTCGACGTGGAAAACGAAGAAGAAGAACTCGAGGAGATTCTTGAGCTGAGTATGGTGGTGCCAAGATCCGAGCTCACAGCATTCGACGTGTTTATTAATCTCCCACAAGCGAGCGAGAGCTCGCCGATCACTCTCCCGGAGTTTGTTGGCTCGTTTGCGAGTGGCGAGATCGATAGGCCAGGGTATCGACGAGTGAAAGTTCGGTTTGGAATAGGTGACAAGATCAAGCTGCTCCATCTGGAGAAGGAAAGGAGTGTTCTTGTCGCAATTGTTCGTCATGGAGCTACCAAAGGCGTGGAAATCACGATTAAAGACATTGATATAGAGCTAGAATAACAACTATAAATCAGGAAAGACTGTACTTTAAATATAATAAATCATTACATCCATTTAAATTTCAAACAAAAGACAACAAAAAATTATTTTAGAAAAAACATGTCTCATCATGGTTTGCTTAAGCATGGTAGTGAATATACCTAGAATATATTTGAATATTTGAAGATTCTAACAGTTTTTATTTATTTAGATTAATCTTGTATTTATAATTTATAAACATATTTATAATTTTTAAACTTTCCTAGACACTTCTTAGTATATTATTTTCTATTCTACCATTTAATGGTTAATGCAATAAGATTAATTTTGATTTATAAATTATAAACATTTTTTATAATTATTGATCAATTGGATTATTGAACGACACTACTATTAAATAAACCAAGTGTTGTTGCATGCAATGTGTGGCAAATTATTCTTGAAATAATTTGAAATAACTTGAAATTTTGGTACATGCCCAAACCAATTTTCAAGTTTCAATGAGTATGAGGATAAGGAGACTGTAAAGTACCCAGGTACATGCATTTTACAGCCACTTTGTTGACACCTTGTCACCAGATCTAAAGCATCAACTCTCACAATCCTATAAATTGAAAAAATGAACACTATTAAATATGAAAAATTCTAGAAGCCTTTTGATTGTTTTTGTGGCTTGGATTTCCTCTAGAACTTTATAATCCCCCAGTCTTCCAACTACTGCCTCCTCATGCCCTGGGGAGGACATGCCTCCAACCTTTCTTGGGGCTAATATATTACCTATTTTGAAACGTAGCATACTTCAGCATTTTTGGTTGTTATTTGCTCTTGGCTCTAGTGTAAACTTACAAGCAAGCCTTTTTTAGAAGAAAAACAAGAGACTTTCTACATGCTCAACTTTAGCCAATTATGATGGTGAAGATGTTTGCAATCACAACCCTTTTTTTTTCCTACAATCACCATAATAAAGAGAATTCTTTGCTAACTAAAAATCCAAAATGTTAGCTTGGAAATTGGATCACCAATCACTGGCCCCAACCTATGCTATGTGCTGACACAGAGATCTCCCAACATGTGAACCATGATTTATAAAACACAATAGTACACATTGTAGCTCAAATTCCATTTCAATCATATTAAACACATGTTAATTTCTTACCTCAGTCCAATCAATGCTAAGCAAATTTGTACCAATTTGCCATTGGCTAAACAAACATCCACAAATTTTTTACTGAAACCATGCATACTAAAACTACACTAGGCACTTTTTCAGTAGGAAGAAGTTGTTGCAAATTTGCAAAAACTTGAAAAACAGTGTTGCAGTACATAAGTGCACTCTAAGCCAGTCTATGAAGTCAGCATTGAGGAAGAGTGATGTGGCAAGGTGCTAGATTGATTCAATTTTGTGCTAGAAGTCAAAGGTCCCATAGCAACAAAGCATGAGATGACTCCCTACAGAAGGATGCAAGTCAACAATGCATTGAAGTGGATATTTTGGCTCTATTGTGATTGATGACCAAAAGTCTGGCTCATCCATGGAATATATCAACTAGTGTCTAACTAAAAAATGAAGAATGCAGGTAGCCAGCTTCATACTCGGAAAAAAACGTGATCCTTCTGCTTTTTAAAGTCCAATGCTCTCAAGGGGGGGGTTGGGCCTGAAT